AAAGACACAAAGAATGTGTGTTTGCATTTGATCCACAAATACAAACAGAAGAACGAGAATAATGAAATAAAACAGAGTTTGTGCAGTGAAATGAAATATTTCTGTGGAAGAAGTGAAATATTGAAGAATTAAACATTAACACAGATTCACCTGAACGCAGCTGCTGGCTTCAAATGAAAGTCAAACTTAAACATGATGTAGAAAAATTAAAATCATCATCATCAATCAGAACATTTATGAAAACAGAACTTTCAGAATAAAACAATCAGAATTCAGTTCATCTCCATGGAGATGCCTCAGTCTGACTTTAGTGCCGGTGCAGATATAACTTGATGACAGAGAAGACATCATGCTTTAACATAAAATACTACATTTCCCAGAAGCCCCATGGGGTCATTTTAGGAAAGATTTTAAAAGGAGGCAATTTAGGAGAAAAGGGTTCAGGAGGTGATCAGGTTGATTCAAATCTGAACACAACAAAATATATAAACACAATAATTTAACAATAAAATCTTTCAGATTTATTTTAAAGGTTACAAGATTTTTAATCTCTATAAAACACAGGTCATGACTCATACGTGACACACACGACAGAATCGTTGGATTCATCTGGAAGAAAAGAATTCAGTGATTTAAATCTCTCCACCAATCAGAAGCTACCAATGACAACAACATGACCCGCCCCTTTATGGTGTCACAAAGATCAATGAAATTAAATCAAATAGATTATTGTTTATACAGTACTTTTATTCTGAAACCTTCGTTCATCATACTTAAAGTTTCATGGCTCAATGTCTACATGTATGATGTGTGTACATGTATGATGTGTGTACATGTATGATGTGTTTACATGTATGTGTTTACATGTATGATGTGTTTACATGTATGATGTATGATGTTGCTCCTTGAGACAAACTGTGATTGATTGATGATGTCTGATGTTCAGAGACAATGAAAATCCATCTTTTCTTCTACACTCCTCCCCTCAGAGACCAGCAAAGATCTGATTGGCTCAAACACACCTCAGCCCCGCCCTCAGAATGTCGACCAATGAATCACAGTCTCAAGCCTCTCTGGCCAATCACAGGTCAGCCTCCTCCTCCTCTTCTTCTTCTGTGGTTACAGGCGAGTTGGTCGAGTCCAGCGAGATGATGATGTCACGCTGCCTCCCCCTCCTCTTCTTCACCTTCACCATCATTTGACTCCACCTCTCCTCCCCCCTCTTCTTCACCTCCTTCATCTTCCTCCTCTGCATTCTCTCCACCCACCCCCCCCTTTCCCTCATCCCCTGCTTCACCTCCTCCTCCATCTGTCTCCTCCTTCTCTCCCGCCACCTCTTCTCCTCCCACTTCCTCGTCCTGCCTCTCTTCGTCCTCTCCTTCACCTCTTCCTCCTCCATTCTCCTTTTCTACTGTCTCCTGCCCAGCTCCTCCCTCCTCCTCCTCATTCACCTCCTCCTTCTCTCCTTCCTCTGTCTCCCTCTGCTGGCAGGTCTCTGTCTCTATTTCTTTACCTGAGTCCTGGTCCAGATCAAGTTTTTTTTTTGTCTCTGTCTCTATGTGAAATTCTTGATCCTGGCCCTGATCCTGATCCTGGACCTGATCCTGATCCTGATCCTGGCCCTGATCCTGATCCTGATCCTGATCCTGGACCTGATCCTGATCCTGGACCTGATCCTGATCCTGATCCTGGACCTGATCCTGGACCTGATCCTGGTCCTGGACCTGATCCTGGCCCTGATCCTGATCCTGGACCTGGTCCTGGACCTGATCCTGGTCCTGGA